CTTCTCTCTGGAAGGCTTTTTTCATCTTTTGATGGTACTTTATCTATATTTATATTTTATCAGTGTGAAAATTTTTAAAATAAGGGATTATACATAATGCTGGTTCTTTTTAACAAGTTGGACAGAAACGTGCACTTTCTTTTCTAAAATATTTAATTTACAATTAAAAGTCGCTTTAAAATAATAATATTTTATAAAGAATTTACTTTCAAATGTAAACTGTAAAAGAAGTAAAATTAAAAGTAAGTAAAAGAAATTTAACAAATAGCCTTCTATTCTCAATGTAAGGCTGGATCAAGCGTAAAAATTTGTCTCCAAAGACCAAATTTTACTTTTTTCCAAGAAGAATACAGTAACAAATTAGTATCTATTATAGTTTTAATCAATATATGTTTAACGGTCATAATTGACCATATTAATTGGAATCAATTATAATTTTTCGTGGGTTCGAATCCCGCTCGTGAATTAACTTTTTTATCTCAACTAAAAACTTTAATTAATTGAAAAATATTAATTGCTCAAGCGGACCATGAAAACTAGTGAATCAATTATAATATTATTCAAAAAATAAGTAGACAGCAAATCATAATAAACAAGGAATAAACAAACTAATAAAAACTGTTACATTTAACTAATTTATGTAAAATAAAATTATGGAAAAGTTTGTTTAAAATTAAATTCTTTTAATAAAATGTTTTTTTTTTTTGTTTTTTTTAATAAATACAGCAAGTCCCAATTTTCAGCTCTTAGTATATATCTGCAAAAACTATAATCTAATTATTTTCATTTAAAATATTTGTCTGACCACTGAAGTAATAGGCCCCAGGCCCAAATAGTTTATTGTCTTTTTTTTTTGTCCTCTCTTGGGTTATACAAAGAGCATGTACTCCCTCAAAGGTTGTAAATTAATTTTACAGTTCGTGGTCCGATTGACCAATTAACATTTTTCAATTAATTAATATTTATGGAAGGTATTGGTCATAATAAAAAAGTCAGTGTCACGAGCGGGATTCGAACCCACGATCTTCGGCTAAATACGCCGCTGCTCTACCACATAAGCTATCGTGACTTCGATCCACTCAGACACTAACTTCCCATCTCAACCCCACCTTTTGAATTTTCCCTTCTTTTTGCTATTTTTCAAATGTCAATTTTTCATAGTATCAAATAGATTAAACGGCATTTATGAAAGATAAATATTAATTAATTGAAAAAGTTGTAAATTAAAGTTTTTCAATGTAATAAGTATAGCACTGTTTATGTGTAATTATGTTTGGGCTGATTGTAAGAAGGTGAAATTCAGAGTCATTTTCATTGAATCAAAGTAACCAAACATCAAGATTTTAATAACATCATCCAAGTATATATGAATCGAACAATATCTTTATTGGATCTACACATTTTTCTCTTTAATATGAAAATTACATGTTGATGTAAAAGTTAGCCCATACATAGGTTAACAACAAGTGACAAACAAAACCACATGGTAACCACTATTCAAGCCCTGACATATTTGAATAAGTTATTAATGAAAAAGCTATAATTATAATTACAAAATAGGCTATACATCAATTAATAAAATAGAACATTGAAACTTCTAATAATTACGCTGATCCACATACTTTTGTTTTATCTTAATTTTCCCTTGTAAGACCAAAAGCTAACCTAAACTGGTGCCTACAAACTTCTGAGATACAATGAAATAAAGCCAGATCTAAGGAGCTACCACAACATTCTGGAGTAAACTGGACTACATTACCGGACATGAAGCTATAGAAGGAAATAAACAGGCCGACTAAAAAGTCAAAAAAGTGGAAGAGTGGAAGCTCTCTCACCCATGAGACCAGAACCAAAACTAGGTGCACCAGCTTGTGTGCTTAAGTTGGAACTGGAAAAATGGCTTGAGAAAGAAAACCTCAATGCTTTAACAATATAACAGGTTGTTATGAATTCCCTGCAAATATTGGCTTTATATATATATTTCAGGTGGGTATCCTAACAATGTGTGGGGTTCAAGTTACAGATCTGAAAACGTTTTGAAAATAAAAAGAGGTATCACAGCAACTTGGCCATTTTATTGGTCAAGAATTACCTATACAGTATAAATGTTTTTTCAAATCTGAAACAAAGATGTTGGACTTCGTTGTTTGTTTTATGTATTAATGGGTTCCTGGTGATTTAAAGACCTCCCTCGGCCTAAATGACCCATAGTGGTTGATCCATTAATTTTAAAAAAAAGTCCTCCCTGTCCCCTTTTCAGTGACCCTCCCTTAACATAATCATTCCAACTAGATCAATATCTATTGTTTTTACTTTATGTCGTTGAACCCAGACTTCACTTTTAAAATATGAAAATAAAAACATTATGTCCAAGCTCAAGGTTCATCATATTCTTTTAAGAATGTATTATCTTATTTTTTCCCATAAATACATAGATTACAAAAATAATAATAAAGTTTTAGATTTGCTTATTTTAAGTTAGAATTCCATTGGGCAATGGCCAGAAGGTTATGATTTAACCTATTTTTTCCTACTAAGCGTTTTTCTCTTCCTGTCTGACACATAAACTGTTTTGTTAGCCTGATATCACATTTACTTTTTCTCCATTGTCTATTCTTCATTGGGTGTATTTTTTGAAAGATGGAGTACTTAACTTGACCCCACTTAAGCAATTCACTATATCTTAGCCCACAAATTTTTGCTAAATATAAAAGTACACTTTCAGAAAGAGAACCATACGTTACATTTCTGGTGTTCTGTTCTCCACTTTTACTACCTCTCAAAGTTGCCAAGACAACCAAGGTAGCGGAAAGATTTTTTGTGAAAAATGCTTGCCAGTATTAACAAACTTAGCTGAGGATCTAAAAGGAAACCCCAAATATGTGAAACTATTACAAAACTGTGTGTTGTGTAAACCATACAACAGATATCTAAAGTTATCAGACTTACCATCCTTAGAAATTACCATAGCAAACTTTTTATCAACATTAAGTTTGAGGTCTTCAGATTCCAGTCCAAGTTTTTTGAGGCTTCATGACATGATAATGAGAGTAGTATATATCATCTGTATTATAGAATAATCGAGTATTTAATATTATCCATTAGAATTCCAGTTGCACAATAAAGTAGTCCAAGATTTTAGAGACAAATAATGCGAACAGAAGAGGGCTCAAAAATTTTCCCTGAAGTAGTCCCTCAGATATGTAAATCTTTTCCAAATTTTCATCCAAATCATTAACAATCATTGAAGCCTGCTCATAAAGACATATAATAGTTTTCAAGATTTTGCAACTAATTCCTAAATTATTGCCACAACTATTTATGATTAATTGGGTAAAATGCTATTTTGTAGTCTATAAACACATCAAAGATTAATGTTAATGATTGATGATAAATTGAATACACATTCGTGACATCATCTATGCTTCCTGAATACCATCTGTTCACCAGGTTACAAGTTGTAACCCTTAGCCCAATCGTAAAGTCTTTTATAGATAATATTTTTAAAAATTGTGTTATTGATTTTTAAATTCACTAATTTCATGGTCCACTTGACCATTTAATACATTACAATTATTTAAGGTTTTTTGGAAGAAAATTCCAAAAGGTGTGGTTGAGATGGGAGGTTGGTGTCCGAGTGGATCGAGGTCACGATAGCTCAAGTGGTAGAGCAGCGGCGTATCAAGCCGAAGATTGTGGGTTCAAAACCCGCTCGTTATGCTTTTTTGCCCAAATTAATAGTAGAAGATAACTATAATATACATCACTTCTACAGGCAAATATCCCAATTTAATTTTTTCCATTATTCATTAATTTTTATTTTATCTTGTTGATATTTTACAGGGGTTTTGTATTAAAATGTATTGCCATAGAATTGGTCCATTGAGTTTTTCAAATGAATCCAATGTGATTATAATAAATTTCTTAAATAAAGAAAAGTTGATAATAAAGTTGATTTTTTTTAAGCACCCATCAGATTCTCAGACTCCCCCAAACCATCCCATTGGTCAGCTGTCTTGTCCCCTTCTCTCTTACTACAAACAAAAGTGACTTCTCACTCTGTTATAGTGGCGCTCCATCAAATTTAAGTCTGCATTGTCACAACGTGGTAATTTTTATTTTAAAAAATAATATTTTTCATACATATAATTGCTTATATACAATATTTACAAACCTTATTCAATACACACTTTTTATAAATGTGTGGAATTAGCAGAGGAGAGCTTAAAGTCACTGTAGTACACCCCAGGTCTAGCATCTTTGTTAGCTGATTGAGCTGAGCCATCTGTGTACAAATGAATCCAATCAATGGTGATCATCCAAGAGTTTTTCGACTTTTGATATTTCCTTAGTTTTAGAAAGTATTTTTACATATTGTGACCAATTTTTAAAAGGAGATCAAGTTGAACTTGCCGAAATGCTTCATTCGCTAACTCGTAACTCGCGCCTGAACCGGTAGGTCAAACTCAAAAAACCGGTAGAAAAACATACTTTTTCAAAGTTTTTTTAAGACGTTTGATATTTCTGTAGTTTTAGAAAGTATTTCTACATATTGTGACCAATTTTTAACATTTTGTACTCTACTTGCTTTAGTTTGAGAGAAATAAGTAATTTTTATTAATAGTAGAAGATAACTATAATATACATCACTTCTACAGATAAATATCCCAATTTAATTTTTTCCATTATTCATTAATTTTTATTTTATCTTGTTTATATTTTACAGGGGTTTTGTGTTAACAATGTCTTGGTCCAATAGAATTGGTCCATTGAGTTTTTCGAATGTGATTATAATAAATTTCTTAAATAAAGAAAAGTTGATAAGTTTTAAAGCTGGTTTTTTTAAAGCACTCATCAGATTCTCAGACTCCCCCTAACCATCCCATTGGTCAGCTGTCTTGTCCCCTTCTCTCTTGCTCAAAAAAAAAAAAACTGTTATAGTGGCGCTCCACTGAATTTAAGCCTGCATTGTCACAATGTAGTAATTTTTATTTTAAAAAATAATATTTTTCATACATATAATTGCTTATATACAATATCTTACAAACCTTATTCAATACACATTTTTATATACAATATTTTCAATGCTTAAGTACATTTTTTCCTTTTGATTTTAATATCGATAATTTGTGATCACACTTAATGAAAGTTTTCAGGTTATTTTATTAAAATTTAAATGGCTATGAATGAGCATCATCACAGAGTGAATTCACTGCTTTACGTTTGTTCCATGCGATTGCAGAATCCACAATACTCGTCGATCGTATAAAATCGACAGCGACAGCATTGCACTTTCTCCCCCAGTCGTTGATAAACCACTGTGATACTTCATGATTGACTGAATCTGCCATATTCCGCAGTCCTTTCATTTTGTCCGATATGATCGACCACGCATCAGCCGTCAGCTCAGTCATCGCCGACCACATGATGCCATTTCTTCGGCTAAATAATACAATGCGGATATTACAAACCTTTTACAATCATATTTTCACGAGATGTACTCACTTGTTAGAAAATATGTGGCTGAAATAAACCGTGAGATCTTGCAACGTCCTCACGTCACCCCATTTTTGAGATACAGGAACCCAAAGGAAATCTGAATGTTTTCTCACAGACAGCTGGTCATTGTACGCAAGAATCAAACGGCTCTTCGAGTTCCAGATCTGATTGAGTGAGGCGCTCCAGCCATGAATAGGAGGGACTGTATATTGGCCCAATTCCTTTCTTAAATAGTCAATAAATTCATCATGAACTTGCTGTTTTGTAAAACCTAGAAATAAATTTACATTACTATCAACCTTATTGGCAATATTTTAAACACAAACTTATGCATGTTTTAAACGAACATATCTTGAGATTTCATGCTGTGGTCTCTAGGGAGATGAACCTGTAATCTTGGTCTGCCTATTCTTACTCGGTTTGTTGTCAGACACATTTTGGCAGACAAACCAAACAAACTACATAAACATAAGTAGTTTGACCATCAAGTCTGCCTATTCTCACAGGTCTGGTCAATCAGATACATTTTATCATTCAATCACTGAAGATAGTGTGTTTAAAGATGAAGCTAAACTTAAATATGCCTGGCAAGATTACTGGTACAGATGGTGCAAGATCATAGGCGGTAAAACATTCAATTTATCACCTCCCAGTCACAACAAAAATAACTGCATGTTCTTGTTTAAACTTTAATATTAATTGAGCTTTTTGCAATATAGCTGAGTTAGTACTTGATAAGTGATGCTGCCCTGTCTATTTTTGATGTTTCATCAGACAGCTGAGGGGTTCGGCCAGTAGATTAAAAATATTTATTGTGACCTTATGCATTTCATGAAGCCTGTAATTCCATCAGAAGATGCCAAATTAGGCAATTCTAAGATTTATTAGCACTTATGGAGATATATAACATGGAATGATAATGGAGGAGACTTTCATCATGAAACCAAACATTCTACAGTTATATTGGGCACTACAATATCTAGTATGTAGGATTGAGTTAGCTTATTTCATTTTTACTTTAATCATACTGGAATAAATTTAGTCAAATTATCATGCATTTTTGGGATGCCTTCTTCAATTGAGTTCACAGACCGGCATAATCAGAGATTACCAAACAGCAGGATGATCACCTCAAGGACATTAAAAATCTCACTAAACTATAATCATTAATATTTTCTTTGCATTTATGTTGTAAGCTGAGGGCTGGCGGCTTAAGTAAGATTATATGGTGTATAGATGGCTTTAAAAAATAAAAACCAGTGAAGAAACCGGTTCATCGAAAAATCCTTCGAAACCTACCTAAAAAAGCAGTAGTTTTAGGTTAACTATCTTTAAAATTATATCCATAGAACAACTAACAACTAAGATTCTTAAAATCTTCCATCATGCATATGATTCCAAAGTGTAAAAATTAACAAAATCTTCCATCATCCTACTGTGCAATAGTCTGTGCCTTATAATGGCAAAATCCTGGAACAACTCCTGCTTAAATATTCTCGTCATCATTCATTCCTGTAACCTTATTGTTGATTGACATTTTGTGCTCAGACGCTCTCATTCCATTATTCACCAGTGCCATCGCACTGTAGACATCATCGATACTGCACTTGAGCAAAATGACTGCTGCTCTGGTGTATGTAGCCCTGGAAGCTTAAGAGAGCCCTCCCTTTCATCTACTACCTAATCCTAAAATGCTACCCAACCCTTAGATACTTTCAAGACATCATTGTTCCCTCTATATCAGCTGGCTATTGCAGGGAATTATCTTACGACCCATACTCTAAACAGTACACGAGACATTCCTTCTCTTTCTTAAATTAAACTATGTGGATGATACCCGTTCTCATAAAAATCCTGTTATGTCAACCAAAAACCTGCTAACCCATGCAAAGAAACAGCTTCATGGAGACAATCTAGGATACCAACTACCAAGATAACCCCGGAAAAGAATTAAAAAATGCTTCAAGAGGTAGAAAATATCAATGTTCAAAAATGTGAATATGTCACATCATACCACTGTTTCTATCTACTACAATAGTATATTTTGATATCTTGATGATACATAAATCCTCTATGTTTTGTCCATCTTTATAAAGCTTTTGTACAACCCATACTACAATATGCTACACCTGTTTGGAACCCATTCTATCTAAATTATCAAAAAATTCTTCAATCTGTACAAAACAAATTTTTAAAAAAACTTTCCTTCAAACTCAATCTTCCTCCGAATTCTGCCTACCCTGGAATCCGCTATGAATTTAAACTTTTCGAACTGGCACTAAGAAGGGATTACTTTGATATTGTTTTTGTATTTAAATTATTGAACAATCTCATTGATAGTCCTTATCACCTCTCTCAACTACAACTAAATGTCCCTTCGTACTCTCTTAAAACCTATAAATTATTTTATATTGAATTCCAAAGCTCTAACTACATGCTCTCTTCTCCTCTACACAGAATGATGACCAAGAGTAACAACATCTGCAATAGCATTGACTTCTTCAATAGTTCTGTGCAATCTGTGAAAAACCTTATCCTACAACCTTAGTTGAATGCTTTTATATTTCATACTGTACAAAATTATTACAATTTATTTCATTTACTGGTTCAACTAATTATCGCACTCTAGTCTTATTATATATTTACTCTAGAGCATTATGTTCATTAAATATGTACCTAATTATTGTAGTTTCAATTGTCTTTCAGCTTTATTTTGTTTTCTCTGCCTTATTTGGTTAGTAATTATGTCTTTAATTTTTGTTGTTCAGTTTTTACTCTTTAATTGTATTTTTATATTTATCATTTATATTTACCATTTATATTATTACCATGTATATACGTCCTTATTCTTTTTATATACATTATTTGTATTTTTACATATATTATTTATATTTTTTGCTATTGTAAAATGTCTTTTTTTATAGTGGATTTCGATCCGTAAATAAATAAATAAATAGATACGTGGAAAAAACGACTTACATAGAGCCCTCACACGACGTTGAAGACCCAAAAGACAAAAACTAAAGAAACGCTTCAGACTCTTAAAGATTGCTTGGCAAACGGTCAAAATTGTCTCTACAAAACAAACGATTCATTAACGTCAATATTTTGAAATCCATTTGGACTTACAACCTCTAACATATCTAATGCCTACAACCCACAATCCTTCGAACTATTTTTTTTTTTTTTTTTTTTTACACTTAAATACTTCCATACAGTTCACACATTCCGTTTGGTCGGTGGAGTACTTGATATTCCTCCACCGACCTACACTTAAACTAAACTAGATTGGGGTCGATGGGGTACTTTTATGAATATTCCGCCATCGACCCCGAACACACACTCACCCGTTTTCATCGTTCGAGGGGCGATGATGACGTTATTCACCCTCACCCCTCGCCATTCACGCTGATAAATACATGCACACAGACAAAACATATAGACACATAACACATAAGACATACTATATACAATAAAAAAAAAAAAAACAATTTCCCTTAAAAAGCGGAACAGGGGACTCTGAAACTCGCTACCGTGCTCGAGGACTCTTCTTAAATCCGGCGGCATGCCTACACGCTCTCTGTATGGAGCCAAGGCATGACACGCCTCTATTATGTGGGACACATCGAGCAACCTTTCTCTGCATAAAGGGCACCTGCGCGGGCCTTCGAACTATTGTCAATGGTTTATTCTCTATGAATCCAATCTTACCATACACAATGACCTTATATCCGATATGTCCTTGAGGTTGCGAAAACAACCAATTCTCCGAATTATTGCCATATTAGAAAGACTGTTAAAAAGTATAATTATCAGTCTAGCTATAATAAATTGACAGCTTTCGAACTTTTTTAACCAATCGGTTTATTGAGCAGCGTTGTTAATTTAATTAAACCTAGTAATTGAGAAAAACAGTCAATCTGTGCATTGACTAACAAATGCGCTTCCGAACCAAGCTCAACTTCCGTGAAAAGATGTAAATGTCCTTCCGGTTATTATCAACTCACTTGATGTCTTTTTGTTGCGAGAAGGCCGAGAATGAAACAGGAGGACTTGTTTCCCTTTCACAATGGAATTGAAATGATCGAAAAAGTGTAAAATAACCAACTTGGAGAATAATATCCAATATTATCATTATAGCGTAAAAAATATAAAAAAAAATAAAAACTAGAAATGATAAATGATGGAGTGAGTGTGGTATACAATCCTTTTTAAAACTGTGAGTAGGAACTATCTTTTTAAAAAGGATTAAAAAAATTAATTTAAAATTTAGGAGTACATCTTAAATAGTTAACACCCGTACATTGCACAATTTTGTCACAAAGACAAACCAAGTATTTAGTACTATTTAAAACCTTTCAATTAATTAAGGTTTTTAGTTGAGATAAAAAAGTCAGCGCCACGAGCGGGATTCGAACTCACGATCTTCGGCTTGATACGCCGTTGCTCTACCACTTCAGCTATCGTGACGTCGATCCGCTCGGACACTAACTTCCCATTTCAACATCAGCGTATCTAGCCGAAGATCGTGGGTTCGAACCCCGCTCATGACACTGACTTTTTTATCTCAACTAAAAACCTTAATTAATTGAAAGATATTAATTGGTCAAGCGGACCACGAAACTAGTGAATTTATTTTACACAACTCTTTAAATTTGTGGCAGATGAACGAATGCTTATACATATGTATTACAAAAGTTCACAATTTGAATTTATTTGGAGTCCTATTTTAGGGACTTCAGGCTTCTAGCCAAGAAAATCTTAATTTAATATACAACCTCAACATTAAATGGATTTTGCCTTACCGACGGAAAATCTGTGAAAATCGATTACGACGATTTCCTCGGTCTTGTTCATGAATTCTCTCAGGGAGATTAAGGAATTTTCCAAAGGTCGCACCCTTGCGATACCGTGGTTTAGCCAGTAACCGCTTTTGTACTTGGAAACCCTGAAGTCGAGATAGCGAGCGCCGTGAATTAACTGTTCCATGATTGACTCGTCCTAGAAGACACAGACCAAACTTAAAAATGTAAAATTACCATAAATCATAAATTAATGGAATAAAAAAAAAGGCATAGAAAACTCATGTAAGAACTGTATCTGCGTAATTAGTTGAAATATCCTTATCAAACTATATGTTGGGTATCGTGAATAGGAGCTCAGACCCACTTTCCAAAACTTTTCCAAATTAATCTTAAATAAAATTCCATGGGCTATCCCAGGATTCGAACCCAGCATTACTAGCATGGTTAAGACGAATCGGACATCCCAACCACTTCTCTCCTCTCACTCACTCACTCACTCACTCTCTCTCTCTCTCATCTTCTATCTCTCAAAATTTTACTTTTTCCATTCACAACACAAGATCCAACTCTGTTTTTTAACCATAATCTTCCCTTCTCCCTATATTCCCTTTAATACACTAATACATTTAATCATAAATATTAAAAACATCATCTAATGAAAATCTTGATAAACCTGAGTTCATAATTTGCAAAATTTATACTATCAAACATTTCTGTTTGAGTTGTTTATCAGAAAATAGTCAAAATTTATCGTGTTCAATATCGATCAAGTTAGGAGGTTTGTCAACCTCGGAAAGATGTTTCGAAAATGTTTTCGACTTCCTTTTTTAAAAAAGGATTGAACACCGCACTCACTCCATCATTCATCATTTCTATTTAAAAAAAGATTGAACACCGCACTCACTCCATCATTCATGACAAGCATTTTAAATGTGTTTCGTATTACTGTTGTTTAAATAGTTTTATTGCAGTGCACTCTCGACACGACACGCAAGAATGGCACAATTACACAGAAGACAAACACTTTGAGCCCTGAAGATGATCTCAATAAAGATCGAAACGTTGGCACGATAAAGAAAATGTTTTTCTGAAACCTACATCCCACCAGACCGCATCTCACGATTTCTAAATAAATATCGATTAACGGTCACTAATCACCACACATTACCACCAAATCATAATAAATTTTTAAATTAGGCCATTTTAAANCAATTACACAGAAGACAAACACTTTGAGCCCTGAAGATGATCTCAATAAAGATCGAAACGTTGGCACGATAAAGAAAATGTTTTTCTGAAACCTACATCCCACCAGACCGCATCTCACGATTTCTAAATAAATATCGATTAACGGTCACTAATCACCACACATTTTTATGTAGAAATGTTTAATGTGTAGAATGTTATGATTGCTTTATGTGTTTTGTGTGATGTGATGATGACATCGACATTGAATTTGATTGTGTTTATCTTTGTTGATGTAAACCATTTCTAAGTTTATGTTTGTTTTGTTCTGTGTGTAACAGTTTTGGTTTGTTGAAGTCGAAATTGTGTTTGTGTTCAAATTGATAGGTAGCCAGTGGTGTAGAATTTTGTTTGGATTTTTTAGCAATCATAGATATGTTGCCTTTACTCTGTTATCCAGATATTGGGATGTACTACCGATGTAAGTTGAGGGACAATTTAAACAATTGATTTTGTAAATTACGTCAGATTTATTTGTTACTGGGATTTTTAATCTTGGACAAAAGTTAGGGAATTATTTTATAGTTTTTGAAAGCTATTTTAAAGTTGTCAGAAGAGAGAAATGTGTTTCATTTATGTGATAGGCCGTGAATGAATGGCATGGAAATGTATGTTGGTTTATCTATATTTGATAGATTTAATGTATTATTATTATTAGTAGTAGTAGTGGATGGTGTTAGAGTTGAGTTGTAGTTGTTGATTATGTGTTTAGGGTAGTGATTGTTATGGAGGATTGTTTGTTTATCTTTATGTTCTTGTGGTGAAATTATTCATGGCTTAGGGTAATAATTCTGTCGAAGTAGCCCTTTAGCCGTGTTTATTATTGTATGAAGAGGATGGTGTGATGTAAAATTCAGGTAGCGATCTGTGTTCCTTGGTTTTTTATACCAATCTGTGTTTAATGTGCCATCTGATTGTTTTATTACGAGTCTGTCTAAAAACGGTATTGTTTTGTTGTTTTCGATTTCATGTGTAAATTGCGTGGGTGAAAGCTGTTAACAACAACAATTACGTGTTTCTTGTTTTCTCACAGCTTGTATTTAATCTGGGTAAGTAGATTAATCATATCTGTAAACTGAAAAGAAGACGATTACTCAATGTTTTACCTGTTGTTAACCCAACTTCATGCTATCACTGTGTTTGTGTTAGTAATAATTATAATCAGTTCATTTAAGTCTTTTATTTGCCAATAATCACGAGTAGATAAAACGGTAAAACTTTCATTAAGGAATGTTCAGATATTCGTCAATTTATCTATAATAAATAATGGCGAATGAATAAAAAACATCTTGTTTCCAAGCAAGTTGTACCTCTCACGTTACTTTTCACTAGGGAGAGACAAAGGAGGTTGGAAAGGAAGAGAAAATGTCAACCGGTGTCTCAGTATGGGAGGTTTTGCTCCAGGTTTTTCCAGGCTTCACGGATGAAGCCTACTTTACTCGATGAAATCGCCAAAAAAAAGTTTCTAATAACCGTCGAAGATCGATTTGTTTGCCACACTTTTTTCGATTTGTTCTCTTTGCCCTTGAAGCGAGTTTAATGAAAATTTAGCGAATACGGAACTACTGGAATTTTTTGAGGTTAATCCTTCGATTATGGCCGTTTGGCAAATTTGTAAGGTGGCTACAGATATGCGGGATTCGTCAATGACGAGTAAGTTTCGCCAAATGGATGGGACTCTTATTCGCCGAACAATAGTCAGTGGCCAGTGCTCGACTTACTTGGCAAATTGTTGGATTCCTTGTCTGCTTCAAAGTGCACAAATATTCGCCACAAATCTGCGGGGTTGACCCCAACTTACTACCAATCATGATGGACAACCGTGAAACTGTCATTGCTGCAGCTCTGGTTACCGTTTTGTGGAATGGCTACGAAGTCAGTCACAGAGTACTGTTTCCACGCATCGAAAAACCCGTTCCAACTTTTGTGATTCGGAAGAGAAATTCCATTGGCTCAGCTAGGTACAGATCGAGGAGTTCCAAGTATGTTATGACGGGCCAATCCATTCCTAACCCACAAAACCAACGCTATATTGTTCTTTTATTAAAACATTTATGCAATTTAGGAATCGTTTATTATTGAAAAATAAAGTAAATAGAAAAGAACTTACTGTTGATTGGTGATTACAGTGGATTTATGTGCAATACAATGATTCCCGAATGTGTGGATGCTTTGAGTTCGTTCTTCACGGATATTTGTGCATTTTGAAGCGAACAAGAAAACCGACAATTAGCTGAGCAAAGCATGCACCGAATATTGTTGCTCGGCGAATAACCGTCACCACTAGTCGAGATTCAGCGAACCTTTGCTCGGCATTCGGCAAATACCGCATGTCTGGAACCACCTTTAAAGTGAGTTCATTTACTTTTAAGAAAGAAAACATAAACAAAACGTATATTTTTGGGTCAAATAGCATTTGTACGATGACATCCTGGTTGGTTTGCACAAAAATAGCAGTTGAAATAATTTTCAGAAACTGTATTTTTATTTATTTCGACTGTCTTATATTTTGATCCTAATTCATTTATGTTTGAAAGTAACAATAAGAAGTACTCTTTTTATGTAAGGTTTTGGTTGAATTGAAAAAGTCAGTGCCACGAGCGGGATTCGAACCCACGACCTTCGGCTAGATACGCCGCTGCTCTAACCACTTCGGTCGAAGTCGTCAAGTATTGAGCCGAAGGTCGTGGGTTCGAATCCCGCTCGTGGCACTAACTTTTCCATTTCAACCAAAACCTTACATAAAAAGGTTAATTAATTAAAAGAAGTAATTTGGTCAATGGACAGTAACTATAATGGATTTAATAAGAAGTACCTTATTCTAGTTTTATTTTATTTTTTATAAATGCCTGTGCTCACTTTTACTGGGAGTTCTATTTTATTACCTCTCATTTTCTCGCATCTTGTGTATAATGTTTTATAATTTAGTACAATTACCTGGGCGTAAATATATTTCATATATCTGTCTTCCTCGAAAGGTCTGTGAGCAACTTGAAACGCTCCGGAGTCGTGAGTACCCGGGAAAAAGGTTTCGGTCAATTTAAGGTTGCCGATATACTTTCTGTTCTCTCTCATCCACCTCGGATTCGATCCCAAGCAACTGGCAGCGACTGAAAGGCTAAAATCATTTACGAAACTTCTACCAGTATGCGTCGTCCTGCAGTACCTGGCAGTCCCCGGCCCCGTCTCCAGTAGGCCGACCAGAAGCCGAAGCAAGTCTTGTTGAAGTTGGGCACCTCTTGGAACCTCCTTCCTTCCTGGACGCCCGTCCTCACCCAGCCACGGCCGCCGGTCACGTTGGCGAGGAAGACCGCCGGGGAATCAGCCCTCGGCTGCTGCTTGTAAAGCCCGACATAGTCTCCCTCCATCCATAGCTCTCCAACGTCCCAGTAAATGTCCATTATCCTCAAGCTGCCCTTTGTCACTAACGGTGACACCGTTATTCCGACGATTGGCTTCTTGCATTTCCATTGAAGAGCTGAAAAAAAGGTGAATCGTTAGAAATGACGCCGGTATGTTTAGACTATGCAAGTATGGACGAGAGGACAAAGGTACTTATAAATTCTAGCCTTTTTACACTTTGAAAGAAGTAGAATTATTCATGTATTTGCTTATCACGGACTCTTTTGACGGTTCAAAATACCGACCCGAGGGCAGAGCCGGCGAGGTTAAACGAAGTTTTGTCGAAGAAGGAAGAAGAAAGAAGAATTTCAAGTTAAACTATTAAAAACTAGTTTACAAAATAACCACCAGTTTTATTTATAAAATATGGAATAAAGTGAAACACATATTCTTTTGGAGTTTTGCATATAGAGCAAATTTCATTGAGGTCATCTTTCCTCCAAAGATAAAATTGTATGCTTGGTTGAGCCGAATATGTTTAAGGAGATGTCAATGAGCGTGTTGGTGTCTGAATAGATGGTTAGGGATATCCACCCTGGAAGTTGTGGCCTACTCCATGTGGAACTACGACGGCGATGGGTGGTACATTGTGGTTAAGGCACAGGGTCCTGAAAAGGTGCATCTCGTGTCCTCATCCACGTCCCTTTCTCAATCCAGGTTCCTTCTTTCCTGCGACCCCTCCCAACCCTTGGCTACAAGGGGGTGTCCGGGCGCGAAATAATGATGTAGCCCAGAGGCAACCTCTCCAAAGCACAAGGTGTACTAGTGACGGCCTTGGGTCGGCATGGTCGGCGGGTGCCTTATAAGAAGCACACGAGGGTTAATGTACCAGATCCTGTCTGCATAGACGGGGGAGGGTGCATGACCGTCTGTACGACGGGTTAACAGAAATGTTCCAAAGTTCAGCCCTTGTTACACTGGGAATGGACTCATAGTGGCGTGGTAACGCCCATGGCGAGAACTTAGAGAAGAGGCTGTCTTCTACCTGAGATCATCGCACGAAACTTGCGTATGGCCACCGTTATACACCCGGCTTCACGGGATACGGCGGATCGGACGGCAGCATATAAACGTTGAGGACGCTATGATTATGCTGAAAAGTCCCTCGAATGATGAGTAGTGGCGGACGGGAACGGGTAGTGAATCGGTTGCTCCTACTCGAGTATGCTTTGCACGTAGGTGTAGGCTGAGCTTGATTGGAGGCTTTTCCCGTAGGCGGTACACCTCTAGGTGGTTAGCAATTCTACTTTAAACGAAACCACGGCCGGAGAGTTTCTACGCTGGGGAAGCCCCAATACTCTGGGAGATAGAGTGGCCTTTTCTATCTAGGGAGTGCGCGGGAGACCGGGCTGATGTATTTCGGCCTAGGTAGCCCTTTGCGCGCGGCATACGGTTTGATGCTTAATGGGAACCGGACCACTCGGTATGGGCAAGCGGGGAGCGAGGTTGTCTTGGTCCTTCGGGGCTGATTTGCCTAGTAACGTAATGCTGCGGCAGTAACACCATTCTATCGTATGTGGAGGTGCGTCAGCTCCCATCTTGAGAATCAAAACGTCCGAATAGGCTAGGTGGAAAATTCAGGCCCTTGTTCAGAATGTGTCAGCTCTGCGTTCAGGTGTTGCAGCAGGAGTTTGCCCCAGTTCTACCAAACACAATTTTTCCACACCCTCAACACTCCGAACATCATGCTCCGAAACCCATCAGGCCTTACACCAACCGTAGTACAAACGTAGCTTTAACAGCGTAACATCATGGTCTTAGCTTAGCCAGCCCGTTCTCCAGGCTTGAATGTACCCGAGGCGTCTTCTAGATGTAATTAAGGAAAGAGGAGGAAATACGAGATTTTGAAATGTTAATTAAAAATGTAATTACATAAAATTTTATCCGTCTTTTCTTCTTTTTTTCATTTATCATTTTCCTTATCAAATTACTTTTTTAAACAGAGACTCAATTATTAAACGTTAAAAAAACGTGAAACTGATTAATATATAAAAATATATACAAATCAAGTTATATCACAAGTGGGTGGAATTTTTTGCCTTTTAGTGTATATTCCAAGCGTTTCCTTTCCAAGACATGTCGTCGTCAAACTTGATGCGCAAGTATTTAATTGCGTGATTTCCCTCTTAAATATAGTTTTATATTCGTATTGTGCCCTGTTTTAGAAATCTGCATAGCCTTGGACTCATCACTGCTGAAGGTTATTCCGTTTTTTCAGACCATTTTTCGATAGGAAGCAGTGACTTGTTTCCAAATACCTCGAGATCAAATTGTCTGTCGCTAGACAAAATTTGAAGACCGACGTCCGTGAAGGCGAAGACTTCACTTTAGCAAGAAAAGGAATCTTTAGGAGCGAGTCAAAATCTATAGTCCAATAGCCTGATCCACAACAAGAGCCTTAAGGGCAGACTTTTTTCTGTTTCTTCTGACGGTGAGAGATGGTGTTGTTATAAAAGCTATACGCTGTTCAAAATAATCTCTAGACAATCTATATAAATTTAATGGACTCTCTTTTTCACTAAGCTGGTAAGAATTGATGACCATGGAGACAAGTCAACGGCGCCCTGGACGCCAAGTGAGATTATTAGTACCTTTCTGCGATCAGCTAGTTCTCTGTTGATCTGCTGCTGCACTAACTATAGCTGTAATGATTATTTGGAGGTCGTGAGATGCGGTCTGATTTGACGTAGGTTTTAGAAAAAACATTTTCTTTGTCGTGCCAACGTTTCGATCTTTATTGAGATCAACTTCAGGGCTCAAAGTGTTTGTTTTCCGTGTAGATGTGTCGTACTTAGTCGTTAGTTAATAAGTGAGCGAGCAAGGAAATATAAAAAACGCTAAGGAAGAAACAAGAACAGAAAGGACAAAGAACTTAACAGAAAGGAATTCAAAATTCTTCCTGACTCTCTACCACCTTAAAAAATTGGACTACCAAGAGATGACCATCATTGAGCCTAAAAGAGACATAGACAACTAGATCTAGACCATACCCCTGAAAACAAAATTGCGTAAATGAAACGAAAATCTTCCTTAAAATCCATTAGCATAAAGCGATAAGTGCTAAGGATCCCATCAACATTTAATGGGGACAAACATCAACACGATCTTAGCTTGCAAAGTTTATTACGTCTTTTATATATTTATTATATAATAAGTATCATTTTGTAGGACCATGATTTACCTTGAACCAAATAGAAGGAAGTCATTAATGCAAATTGTTTCTAAGCCCATAGCGTTTTACATAAATAAACCGACTTCCAGGATGATTGACTACCCTAGTGATTCATGCATCCGCGAAGTCCTTCTGATTGATGAACACAAGGTTAGGCACCTAACACAGACTTTTTTCCAACTACATAAAAGTATCCGTTGTAATGCAGATCAACAAGCAGCAGAAGTTGTCTTGGAGTTAAGTAAAAATGAACAATTTTATCCATCCTAATGCTAGATTTATTGCTGGTGTTGATTTCAATTATCAATCCGCATTCTTTGTGTCTCGACTCCAACTATTTTTCAATACTCATTGTTCTTCGATTAGACAAATAAAATAGACGACGACTTGGCATCAATTGATCACCTCTAATACACCCAAAGAAAGACACTTTTTGATTTAATGTGAAAAATGGAGAAGTGGGCTCATAGCTGTCGATTGCTGCCGCCGTGTGTCAGATTGAAGGTCTTATAGTTTCCAATGACCCAGCTGTGACTGAGCGTGTCGACTTTTTCCCCAATCTTGGATGATTTTTGAATTTTCCCCAATTCGATAACGTCAAATAGTTTTTGTGCAGAGGCCCTCGTCAGTAGGGAAGCGGACTTGAAATGACCCACCGGAAAGAGATCCATTTCTACAAGGATTGGACCTGCTGGCTTTTCAGTTATTAAGTAATTTCTTTTTGGTTTTAACATTATCGTGTATTTTTTTATATCTGGCTCCACACAGGAAGACATCCGTAGCAGACCGGGCAAAATGAATTGTAAAATTATATCGTTTTATTTATAATTTTGAGTCGCCCAATTGATAGCCAATCCGATTCTCGCATTTACCACGTTCCTTGCAATTTCCAAATAAATTCTGAATGAAGTTTGACCCCTCGTCGATGCTTTTGACTCCCAACATATAGTTAATGTAGTCTGTAAAAGAAATCACTATCCACAAAACAGAAACTATTTAGAAACTGAAAGTCTTTGTGGTAATGAACCTGCAGTTTGGTCAGTCAACCGAAACGATTTTTACAGACTATAGGCGAGAATAGGCGCACCAGGAAAACCGGACACAATGAAGCCACTTTTCATCGCTTCACAATTATGAACCTGTTCCCAGATGTGACGTATTGGTTGAGACTGAGAGGAGAACCGGGAGGGGGTCTTGGCGTTAATGGGGGATTTACTCAATTTAGTACTCGTTCTGTTGTAGAATGATGTTAATGTACGAGTGATGAGTAGTAAAAATACTGGTTTTTGAAACGAGTGATTTTTATTCAAACCCGTAAACAGAACCCAACATTTTACGGAATCCCCCCACTTCAACAAGTCATATGCTGGAGATTTTTCCTTTCCATCTTCGTTTGCATTGTCTAGATGGTTTAGTATATCACTCGCGTTTCGCTTTTACGCCATTTCCGGTATGACTTTATTTTGTCAGAAAATTTACTCTAGACATAAAATTATTAATTTTTATTTCTTTATTACATACAAAAAGGGCATGACAATAAAATAGTCAGGCATAATTTTCGAGAATGGCTTCCCTGAAATCTGCCGTGCAGTTCTGTCCAGGCGCTTTTCTTCTTCCAAACGTCTCCTTTTTAAAGTTCCCCTTAAGTTTGTAAGAAAACAAGAGGAGTTTGGAGTGTGATGTGCTGCGGTACGCCGAAACGTGACTGTCCGAATGTTTTTACACATGTATATTACATGTTCTAATGAAAGGGAAATTATTTAGTTAAACATGATAAAATAGAATTGGTGTGATTAACTCAACCTTGATCCTTCCCATTCACCTATACTCGCTTGAAATATTTTCGGGCTCGTTCGCCTTTTAGTCTTATTCAGTACCTTGTCTGTGTCTTATTTGATCAAGTT